AACGGGGAGCAATACGTAAACACATGTTGAGAACCAGGTAAGGTAAAGCAATTTCTTAACAGTAGAATGTTTCAGTGTACGAGGTATATTACGTGTTGAAAAATATTTTCCAAAGCTGATAATCAACAGATTATTTATGGTAATTGAAGGAAAGAAAATACCCAAGTAGCGAAGGATTTTGCAACCCCATCCTCGTTCAAAAACATCCATAAATAATTGACAACCAGTAAGCGGAAGAACTATAAACGCGCAAAGTGAATCAGATATAGCAAGGCTGGAGATGTAGACATCAAAATTTTTCCGGAAAGATAAAGACTTAAGGAAGGACGCTGTACTTTGGTTCGACTTAACAAAACAAAGTATGAGAACATTTCCGAAAAACGCTAATATACCCACAGTAACAGAAAATATCAGCAACGTAAGTTTGGTTGAAGAGCTTAAAGGTAAAAACACATAGATTTTGCTACGCGAAAGGCCTGTTTGGTTGACATACGAAGACACGTTCTGTGTGTAGAGACAACAAGAGGCATCCATGCCTTCCAACTTGAGCATCTACCAGCGACCTGGAATCTACAAAACCTATGGAGAAATGAATTTAACACTATGAAAACCATCAGAGCTCTAGAGATTTGGATATCCTCTTATAATCACTCCATAAAAAGTTTTAGAAGAGTAAAAACGGTATTGTTGAAGTATGGAAAGGTTATTGTTTACTAAATGACTAGTGCTTCATGTATCGGAGACACACTTGAGGAGAAATGAAAAAACGCATTTCTGCTGAAAAAATGAAATTTCAAAAGTTTACCATACTGTTGAGAGCTGAGCATCTTCTTTGGAAAACAATTCCGCTCGTGAAAATCGAGTTTAACTGAAAGACCTCTATGGGGTTTTTTTTTGGCTAAGGGGGGGAAGTGAAACATGTTAATCAGGAATGATAAAGATTCCAAGAAATCACTTCTTGAAAATGCTTACCTTATATGGTCTAGGACGTCCTTTTTTGAATGAAAGTACACTGGATACATCCGACCTACATTCTAAACACACCGTTAGGGATTCAGTTATGGATCTGGTTTTGCTAGCTGAAAGATCACGGAAAATTTTCGATTGTAAATAACGCTCGAAACTTCAACTCTTCACTGTGGCCAATTTACTTCATTAACTCAGTTGATAAAACCCAAATTAGCTTGTTATACTTCCCCACCGACGCGGTACAACAATTTCATTAAAAACGTACCCGCTTTTACGGCATTTAAATTGGTTGAAAACAAATTCTGTTTTATTTTGTTTATCTATTTATTTGTCAATTTGTTGATTAGTTTCATTCAAAGTCTTTTTTTACAGTATGATTCCGAGCTTAGATGACGTAAAGTTTTTCAGAAAAAGGCAGGGGCTTAAAAAAACCTGCACAACTACTGAAAAATCTTAATCACATCTGAGCCAGGCAATCATCATGCACTGTGGTGTATAGAAATGACAAATTTTCCAAATCTTGAGTTTGTATACGAGCATAAAGAAATGTTATATGGTGAAACTAATACATAAAATTTCCCTGGTTTCGTTTTTTTATCGCACTTAGAGGAATTAACGAAAAAGAAAAACAGCTGTTTTATTTCAATTAAATTCTGCGCGTAAAATACCCCACATTTTTCTGAAGATGCGTTTTCAGATTCATTATTCTGATAACACTCATTTTCGTAAGAACGGGTTTGCTTTGACATCGTTTGGAAAACTTATGGATTTTAAGGCGTTCGTTTTAATGGAAAGCTGAACTAAAAAATTAATAACATGAGGTTTATGAGTAAAATTTTGACTTCACTATTATTTTGAATACGATGTAACTGTTTGAGACCTTGACTATTTAGTAACCGTTTAAAACTGTTAAGGAAAGCAATCAAAACAAATTGTCGTGATGAGACAACAAATACGAGAGAAATACAATAAATTTATCGAAATAGTATTGAAAACAAATTGCAGTTTTAATTCCAAATGTGGTTGTATGTGAGTGCGGTTACGTGTGTTTGCTAATATTTTGAAATTGCTCAGCCTGAATACTTCATAAGTATCATACATTTGAAGACATACCATAAATTAAAACATTAAAATACCTGTTCGTTTTGTTGGCCTTTACATTTCTGCCCTTCTGAAAGCTTATATATCTGCTGCGGGTATAGATTTAACGGATTTTAACAATCTGAGAATGTTGATATGCTGTCTTCACAGGATCTCCATTTTAACTTTCAGTTGTATGATTTGAAGCAGAAAAATCACCTACGCTGCCTTGTAGTGAATAAACAAAACGTTTTTTGAGGCACTTGAAGAGTGGGTTTAAACGTCAAATAATTGTCTCCGTTGAGATTCAAGTGTGTGCGTAATGAGGAATATAGATGATATTTAAAAATGGGAAATTGGCAGCATTTTGATCTTCAATTGTCGTGGGAAGCCTCCGTCTGATTGTAGTTTTCTGCATTCATTGACCGACTTTTAATCTCCGTCAAAATTTGAATTTTTAAAATTGTTGTCTCTCAATTCATATGACTCAGAAATTAAAAAACCTGGTAATTTTTTCAAGTTTAAAGGCTTAGGATTGTTCATAGTTTAATTCCAAAAAATGTAATTGAACTTTAAAACTGCTAAAATACTAATCATAAAGCCAACAAAAACTGAACATTAGCACTCAAGTAAAATTATCTTTCAAAGCGTAACTCATTCACTATGAGCTCAGGTGAGAAAATGTTATTAGTTCCAAAATTAAAAATACGAGACCGGCTTAATACTATAGATAATACAAACAGATGAATACATTGTGCGTTAAAAGGAAATCTTCTCTTTTGTACGTTCCTAATTTCCTTCCATGCGTGTGGGAGAAGCGAACACGCTGGGTAGACCCTTTCCGCCCTTAATGATTTTATTCTTGCATCTGATTGGTTAAGAAAGTGGTGCGAGTTTTCCGGACCAATCACACAAAATCTCATTTGTAATGCTCCATACTGACTACTGTGCAACTCTTATGATTTTAGTTCTGATAATTTGATACTGGATCAATTGATAACCACCTAATTGATATTTCTCTTGATTCTCATCACTCGTCTGCTTGAAATTACATGGGTATCGTAGTGAGAAAGTCTGTCTTGGTCACTCGTGGTAGTTAAAGGGTTAAAGGGCCGCGCTAAACCAGGATGCATTGCTGGGGTAGTGGCTTTTTTCAGTATTTCCTATACCACAGAAAAAGAAAGGCTACTGTGTGTATAATATTACTCGACTAAATCTTTGCAATCTTGATCGAGAACTGGTTTTTTATTCCTTCAACTAGTTTCTTTAAGTGTCTATCGTCTACTTACTACGCATTTTTGTCGTTTCATTTTATGTTGACGGAGGATCAAATGATTTTAAGGGGTGTGGATCACATAGTTTTCAGGGGGGCGGATGGGGGAGTAGTCGTCGCTAACAGAATATAAATGGAAAGACTAAGATTATCGCTATGTTGAGCTTAAGCTGACGGAGTAATGTCATGTCGTAAAGTATCTCTCCAAGGCATCTTCTGCTGGGTAGAACACAAACGGCGGAAAGTGAACGCCGTCAGTAGTGCCTCCTGGGTATGCTGCGCTAATCTGGTAGACGTCTAAGACAGGGATACCAGCTTCACACATTTTCTTCATGGCGTAGGCGTTGAACAGTTTAATTCGCTGTAAAATTCATTTTAAAAGTTTTAGAGTCTAAATCTAACTATCTAAAAAGAAGACAAACAAATAAACAAGAAAGCATATAAAAACAAACAAAGTGGCAACGTAGCCTATAGTACAATGCCTGCAAATATAAATGTTTTTTTCTTTCGACGCGGGTTCGCACTTAAGACGACAACAAGAGATTTAAGCGAGATGGGGCGTGGCACGGAATAAAACGAGAGTTTTTCAGTTCTTTCTGAATGAAAGGTTATTGTGATTTTTGTTTTAGTTTCTGTTTTGTTCTACAATGGGCATCGTAAATTATTATACAGATTTCAAGACATTTTAGAGGTAATTGTCTGATAATTAAAGTATCAAAAGGGGCTTAAATTTTGAACAAAGGTGCTTTTTTTTTCTCCACGTTCCGTCATCATTGCTTCGGGGAAATAGTAGGAGTGTAGAGAGTGCAGTTTCTTTACCTGCTCAGTGTGAAAACGTCGACAGCAACCCGTATAGAGCTCAGTTTGTTTCCCGAGGGAGGGTGTTGTCTTCCAAACAACCCTTCCTCGATAGCTCTGTTTCAAAACACGAATGAAACCTTTAATTATCTTTTGGTAATTTCTAAAACTTGTGCTTTTTAAGAGATGGACTCCTGTGTTAAGTACTAAAGCGCTATCTTCATCCATTAATGGCTGCGTTACAATTGAGCGCAGTTCTTCCAGGACTTGTGTCACATTAAGATCATGGCCTCCGTAACTAGGAAGAGAAAGTAATACATGTGTTATTTCACCTCACGCTTTCCTAACTCGTCCCCAGCCTTTCCTTTATGCCCTTCGTCGCTTTGAGTTAGCCAGAGACCAATAAGTGAGGACTTGGCATTAGTGAGCTCACTTCTTATTCAACAATCGCACATGTCCGACGTAAAATCTAAAACCATCACGATTTTTTCACGCGCGTTTTCACACGCTTTCAGCTCGTCACTTCTATCTTTAACGATTTACCATTGGTCCATTAGATTTGATTCTTACATTCATTTGTTATCAGTTGGCTACGTTTAAAATGAACTAAGGTTTATTTTACCGTTTTAACAACGATAGGGGTACGGGGACCAGGGGTGGGGAGAGTGGCGTATAATTTGGACGTCAGCGGTGTCTATTAGGCTCTTGAACATTAGAAGATGGGAGCAAAGTATTATTCCCATATATAGAGAAAAAAATTGCAAAATTGAACTTGCTGGGTCGGTCTCCAAAAACTACATGAGAAACAGAAATGCATTATCTCTTGTCCATATCTCACTCATGTCTGAAAGAGGAGGGAAGTTTGAGCACGAAACGAAATACCTCCATTACCAAAGATCCATCTCATTTGAGTTCACCGTTCCCAGCCAGTAGACCCATACATTGGTATGATAACACGCTCGGAATACACGAGAACACAGCTGTCGGCGTTGCACTGATTCGTAAAACCGTCGATTGTGCGAGTCACCATATATCCATAAGACACCAGATCCCTGCCTATGGCCTGACCTTGGGTCGCTGGAGTCAGCTGGAGAAAGAATACAAAACACATTCCCAGAATGATGAAGTAATATGATGTGGCTTTACGCAAATCTTTCTGATTCCTCGATTAGTTGTAACTTACGGGCGAAATCCAGAACAGTACAAATTCTAATCACAAAAAGTAAATGTATCACTGCCGAAAGACGTCATTAGGATCAACAATTTTAGGTGCAGCTTGAGCTAGGATTGATTGTGTTACCTATTGTTTTAAATATTTAGCAAAATTCGTCGATCAAGTGGATTTGTGCACGGGATTAGAGGTCGGAATTCCGGACTCGAACCAAGCTGGTCAGGTATTGCTTGGTGTTTTTGG